CGGGGTGTTGACAGACCTGAGAAACTGTTTCCCTTCCCCACAGTGCTGTCAGGTGTGTTCACGGATGTAGAGGCCTCTCTGAAGGACATCAGGGATCTGATAGAGGAGGATGAGCTGCTAGACCAGAAGTTGCAAGAAGCATTAGGCCAGGCAGGGTCCAGCCCAGCGGTCTCTAAGGCCGAGCTGGCAGAGGTGAAGCGCGAATGGGCCAAGTACATGGAGGTCCATGAGAAGGCCTCCTTCACCAACAGCGAGCTGCACCGTGCCATGAATCTGCACGTCGGCAACCTCCGCCTGCTTAGTGGGCCGCTCGACCAGGTCCGGGCCGCCCTGCCCACCCCTGCCCTCACCCCAGGTGAGCTCTGCCTGTCCAGTCCTCAGGGTATGTGGTACTAGAGGTTTCTCTAGCCTCACAGACCACTCCTGCCCCCAGAGGACAAGGCTGTGCTACAGAACCTGAAGCGCATCTTGGCCAAGGTGCAGGAGATGCGGGACCAGCGTGTGTCCCTGGAGCAGCAGCTGCGCGAGCTCATCCAGAAGGATGACATCACTGCCTCGCTGGTCACTGCGGACCACTCAGAGATGAAGGTAAGGGGAACTAGGCAGGGCGCTCTGGTTCTGGGCTCCATGTTTTAGGTGGTGAGGCCTGAGTGTCTCCAACATGTCCCTTAGAAACTATTCGAGGAGCAGCTGAAGAAGTATGACCAGCTGAGGGTCTACCTGGAGCAGAATCTGGCTGCCCAGGACAACGTTCTCCGGGCACTGACCGAGGCAAATGTGCAGTACGCGGCCGTGCGGCGGGTGCTCAGCGAGCTGGATCAGAAGTCAGTGTCTGGCCTGGGGTGTGCCCGGAGTCCCGCTGAAGCTGAGCTCGGCTCACTGCCTGCCTGCTTGCCCTTCTGCCTGCCAGATGGAATTCCACACTGCAGACCCTGGTGGCCTCCTATGAAGCCTACGAGGATTTGATGAAGAAGTCTCAGGAGGGCAAGGACTTCTATGCCGACTTGGAGAGCAAGGTGGCGGCTCTCCTGGAGCGGGCACAGTCCACCTGCCAGGCCCGCGAGGCTGCCCGTCAGCAGATTCTGGACAGGTGGGTGCAGCTGCCTTGCCTTGGACGGGGCTGGCTGGCTGGGGTGGGATGGGCAGGCTCACTGCCTCCTCCGCTCCTTCCACAGGGAGTTGAAGAAGAAGCCGCCACCCCGACCCACAGCCCCGAAGCCACTGCTGCCTCGCAGGGAGGAGGGGGACGCGCTGGAGACAGACCTGCCTGAGGAACTGCGCAGCCTGCCCCCCGACATGGTGGCCGGCCCCCGGCCTCCTGACACCTTCCTGGGAACGACTGGTCCCCTCCATTTTCCTCCTGGTCCCTTCCCCACCTCTGCAGGGCCAGGACCCCACTATCTCCCAGGCCCCTTACCCCCTGGTACCTACCCAGGCCCTGCCCAGATACTGCAGCCTAGGGTACCTCCAGCCCCCGGGCACCCTGCAATGGCCATGGCACCTAGACCTGCCCTCTACTCAGCTCCCGGCTATACACCAGAGCTGGGCCTGGTGCCCCGTTCCTCCCCGCAACATGGTGTGGTGAGCGGCCCCTACGGGAGGGTTGGGCACCCCCAGCCCAGTGCAGGCCTGCCCTCAGCCCCACCCTCCCAGTTCTCAGGCCCTGAATTGGCTCTGGGGGTTCGGCCAGCCACCACCACAGTAGATAGCATCCAGGCCCCCATTTCTAGTCACATGGCACCACAAGCAAACCCAGTCCCTGCCCCTCCCCCGCAGCCTTGCTTCCCTGTGCCACCACAGCCTCTGCCTGTTCCTTACACCTACCCACTAGGACCCAAGCAGCCCCTCACAGCTCCCCCGACCCAGCACTTTTCTCCTGGAATCCCTACAGGTTTTGCAGCACCAAGGATGGGGCCTCAGCCTCAACCTCACATCCCACAAGCTACCTTTGGGCCCCAGCCCCACCAGCAGCCTCTGCCACTTCAGCACCCACATCTGTATCCACCCCAAGCCCCAGGACTCACGCCCACACAATCCCCCTATCCCTTTGCTCCTCAGCCTGGTGTCCTGGGGCAGCCACCACCTGCAGTGCACCCTCAGATCTACCCTGGCCCCTCTCAGGACCCACTGCCCCCCCATTCAGGAGCACTGCCTTTCCCCAGTCCCGGGCCACCTCAGCCTCCTCATCACTCTCTGGCCTATGGCCCTGCCCCCTCGCCCAGGCCTCTAGGCCCCCAGGCAACCCCTCTCTCCATTCGAGGCCCCCCACCGGCCAGCCAGCCTTCCCCCAGCCCCCACCTGGTGCCTTCACCTGCCCCCTCTCCGGGGCCCAGCCCGGTCCCTCCACGGGCCCCTGCTGCAGAGCCGCCATCTTGCCCGCGCCGGGGCGCAGCCACTGCAGACCTGCTCTCCTCCAGCCCTGAGAGCCAGCATGGTGGCACCCAGCCTCCTGGAGGAGGGCAGCCCCTGCTGCAGCCCACCAAGGTGGATGCCACAGAAGGTCGGCGGCCTCAGGCCCTGCGGCTCATTGAGCGGGACCCCTATGAGCGCCCTGAGAGGCTGCAGCGGCTGCAGCAGGAGCTGGAGGCCTTCCGGGGCCAGCTGGGTGATGCAGGGGCTCTGGACACTGTCTGGAGGGAGCTGCAGGAGGCCCAGGAGCAGGATGCCCGGGGCCGCTCCATTGCCATTGCTCGCTGCTACTCCCTGAAGAACCGGCATCAGGACGTCATGCCCTACGACAGTAACCGTGTGGTCCTGCGCTCTGGCAAGGACGACTATATCAATGCCAGTATGGTGGAGGGGCTCTCACCGTACTGTCCACCCTTAGTGGCCACTCAGGCCCCCCTGCCTGGTACAGCAGCTGACTTCTGGCTCATGGTACATGAGCAGAAAGTGTCCGTCATTGTCATGCTGGTGTCTGAAGCTGAGATGGAGAAGGTACGAGGGAGCTGGGTGCGAGGGAGGGACCCCAGAAGACTCACCCTAACTCTGCTCCATGTGTGCCCCCCAGCAAAAGGTGGCCCGCTACTTCCCCACGGAGAGAGGCCAACCCATGGTGCATGGCGCCTTGAGCCTTGCACTGAGCAGCGTCCGCACCACTGACACCCATGTGGAACGGGTGCTGAGCTTGCAGTTCCGGGACCAAAGCCTCAAGCGCTCACTCGTGCATCTTCACTTCTCCACTTGGCCTGAGTTGTGCGTCTACGGTCTTTAATGATCAAGGGAGTGAGGGGGAGGGAGCCTCAGATTGAGTCTGCCCCAAGCCCCTGCTTCCTTTTCACCTCTGCAGAGGCCTGCCTGACAGCCCCAGCAACCTGCTGCGCTTCATCCAGGAGGTGCACTCACATTACCTGCACCAGCGCCCCCTGCACACCCCGGTCATTGTACACTGCAGGTAAGGACGGGGGCACCACTTGAGGGGAGCTCCTGTAGGATGCAGGGACTCCTGACCTCACACCCCTCTCCTCCGCAGCTCTGGAGTGGGCCGCACAGGAGCCTTTGCGCTGCTCTATGCAGCTGTGCAGGAAGTGGAGGCCGGAAACGGGATCCCCGAGCTACCTCAGCTAGTGCGGCGCATGAGACAGCAGAGGAAGCACATGCTGCAGGAGAAAGTGAGGGGCTGGGCAGCAGGCGGGTGTGGGAGGCCCGAGCCCACCCCTCAAGGCCACATCTCCCTGACCTTGCTGAATGTACTTTTGCAGCTGCACCTCCGGTTCTGCCATGAGGCGGTAGTGAGACATGTGGAGCAGGTCCTGCAGCGCCATGGTGTTCCCCCTCCATGCAGGCCCGTGGCTGGCGCAGGCAGCAGCCAGAAGGTGAGGAAGGAAGCATGGTGACTGCTGGGATGGCCGGTTTGTGGAATCCCCTCCTGTTCTTCACCTCCTCTTTCTTCTTAGAATCACCTTCCTCAGGACTCGCAGGACCTGGTCCTTGGTGGGGATGTGCCCATCAGCTCCATCCAGGCCACCATCGCCAAACTGAGCATCCGGCCTTCTGGAGGCTTGGATTGTCCAGCTGCTAGCCTGTCAGCCCCAGTAGAGCCACCAGGTTTGCCACCAGCCAGTGTTCCAGAGTCTACTCAGCTCCCACCCTCCTCCCCTCCCCCGCTCTCTTCACCCCTGCCTGAGACCCCCCAACCTGAGGAGGAACAGCCAGTTCCTGAGGCCCCCCATTTGGAGCCGCCCTCCTCATCCTTGGAGCTGCTGGCTTCCCTAACTCCTGAGGCCTTCTCTTTGGACAACTCTTTGCGGGGGAAACAGAGGATGAGCAAGCAGAACTTTCTGCAGGCCCATAATGGGCAGGGTCTGCGGGCTGCCCAGCCCACCGATGATCCCCTGAGCCTTCTGGACCCACTCTGGACACTCAATAAGACCTGAACAGGTTCCCTGCCTGGTCCTTACACTACATCTCCCGGTCTGCTCACTCATGCCCAGCTGGGCCTATGCCGTGGGCTTATTCTCTTCCTCCCATTCCTGCTGCCTTCAGCCCTGCCTGGCCCAGCCTGTACTCATGTGGGTGGAGGTGCATCACAGGCCTGGGGTCAGGTTCTGTTCCTTTGTGGGAAATGACATTTTTCAGCTCTTTGCTATTGAAGTAATAAACCAACCTGTTCGTGGCCACTGTCTGTCCATTGCTGCCTCACATGGTGTACCGTCACTGTACGTGTCTTAGAGGCCACCCTGTCAGATGGCTGAGGGTTCACTGAGCTTTCCCTCCCCTGTAACCATCTCATTTCCTGCCACTGGAGCCAGTGAGAAGGGTCTAATTAAATGCAAGGCTTAGTCGCAGCCTTATTTGGATGGTCACTGTCACTGTCCTCCGTTTTTCATCAGTTTTGCTCGAGCGGGCCCAGTAACGTCTCCATTGTGACGATTGTTACCATGTTTGGCATATCTAATACGTCACGGGTATCTTGCCGGCCTAACCCAGCTCCCAGATTTTGGAAACACTGTGAAGATGCAAATGGCTCAAAAGGTCCTTGACAGATGAGGTTTTTAAAAAAAAAAAAAAATTTAATATTACAATCACAAGGCAGCATCCTGAAGCCTCTGCTCCTCCCCAAGTTTAAGTCCAGTGCATGGCCACAGGGCAGCCCCGCAGCCCAGAGGGTGTGGACAGCCCCCTCAGTCCAGCTTCTCCAACACAGAGGGCACGTACACCAGACTGAGCTCACTGCCAAAGTTGCAGACGATAGCCGCATTGTCCAGCACCAGGATCTGGCGGGCAGGCTGGGCCTCGCTGCTCTTCCCCAGGTAGACTGTCTGTAACAGGTCCCCGTAGTTCAGGTCCCAAAAGGAGACACAGCCCTGGCCGCCGGTCACCAGCAAGTTGTCTGAGATGACCCCCAAGCTCGCACCACAGCCCAGGTCCTGGAGGCAAGGAGAGGGTGAGCTCAAGTGTCTGAAGTCTACTCTAAGTCATGAGAATACTGGGGGTTGGGGGGCACCTACCTGCTGAATTGAGTAGAGCTTAATGCCTGTGCTGCGGTCCCAGATGCTGATGAGGTCATCCAGGCCGCTGCTGATGATGCAGGAGGTGGTACAGGTGAGAGAGGTGATATCCCCACGGTGCGCAAACATGTGGCTGACTCGGCTGCCTGTCAGCACGTCCCACAGGCAGATGGCTCCGTCCTGTCCTCCACTGGCCAGCACCATAGTCTGGAGGGACAGTCCCAAGGAAGCTGTGTCACTGATGACAGGACAGTTCTTGTGTCCTGGGCTTGGGAGTCTTCACTCCGCCTGGTACCTGGCACCCCCTGCAGCCCGCCTGGCCCCTTACCTGGTCTATGTACACACTCGTGATGGCCCCTGAGTGGCCCTGCAGGGTAAAGAGGCAGCACGAGTCCTCCAGACGGAACACCTAGAACAAGACAAGAGCTACTTTCTGGGGTTGCCCAAATCTCATGGGGGCCACAGAATCCTTTTCAGGACAATGCAAGCCTTCCCTGACTGACCCCCAAATGCTCCGCTCCCTGATACTCACTCTCAGGGTATGATCTTGGCTTCCAGTCACAAGACGTCCCGCAGCAGCCTTCAGGGCTGTGATGGGCTTCTGGTGTGCACAGGGTACTGTGTGTGTCAGGCGACAGGCCACCGTGTCCCCACTGCTGTACATGGGGGATGTAGGGGAATTACCCCGTCCTAGGAACAACAAGCCAAATGAGGGGTCTCTGGAAGCACCTTGCAGGCAGGAAGGCCCTGTACTTCACCCAGTGGCTGCAGACCCTTCCCAGCCCAGGCCCTCTGACCTCGGAACTGCAGCGGGCTAAGGGCTGTGTGCGTCTCCAAGGAGAAGAAGTCGAGGGAGCCATTGAGGCGGGCAGCCACGATCCTGGAAGAGAACAGCACTGCAAAGTGGCTCTCCCTGTCTCAGGGCCAACCACTGCATGGTCTCTGCTCCCAGCAAACACCAGAGATGGGGGCTCTAAAAACCACCAAGGGAGTGAAGATAGGAACCCCCACAGCCCGGAGACTTGCCCAGGGAAGGACAGGCTTAATAAAGCCTGGGGCTTAGAACTCATGAGGCGGGTGAGCCTCATATGTGCTCCCTCACATCACAGCACTGGCCTTCTAAGGCCTTCTACCCTCTATGAAAGGAGGGAAGCTGAGTCGCAGTGGAGACGCGGCTCACCTTCTGTCCAGGAAGACAAGGGCTGTGATGCCCGAGGAGACCTCTTCACTGCTGCAGCGCATCATGCCCTCGATGGCATCCCACACCTACAAGCCCAGTGCCCATGAGCCAAGGCCAGCTCCCCCCGCCCCACCCTTCCGGCCCCTCTGCCCACCTCCAGCCGGCCACTGCTCCGTCCCAGCACGATGAGACTGCCCTGAAGCTCCAGGCTCCAGATGGAGCCATCTGCACTGGGGGCCCAGGTAAGGGGAAGGGAACCCTTCTCAAGAGAAGAGCCCCCCTCATCCTCAAGGGTTTGGGGTGCTGTGAGCCCAGGAGAAGGGGGACGCAGGCTTGGGGTGTGGACAGAAGCCAGCCCCTCCTCCTGGTACACCCGCTGCACCAGGCGGCTGAAGTCATAGCCTGGGGTGTCACAGGTGCGGCCACAGCCCACCCGATGCCGGGGCTCAGGCTGGGCAGGGTCGGGGGGCTGTAGCTGCGCAGAAAAGTTGGTATCGATCAAGCAGGTGAGGTCTGGCTGGTCCCCGAAGAGGGAAGGAGGAGCAGCGTCCTGGGAGCGGTGCCGCAGCAGAGGGCTATCGCCGGCTTCTTCTGGGCCACCTTTCCCACCATCTGACAGCCGTTCCCAGCTCTCCTGAGCCTCGAACACGCTGCCAACGCCACTGTCCCGCCGCTGCCTGCTGGGGGCCCAAAAAGCATGGATAGTATTGGGGGTTGGGGGGGGAGGCACAGGATGCGGGATGAGCAAGAAGTCAGGTGGCACCTCCACCTACCCTGGGCGTGGGATGCGCGTAAGGCAGTCCCCGGTCTGAGCGTCCCACACGCAGACGTGGCCGGCCAAGCAGCAGCTCACCAGCAGCATGCCATCACTGGCCAGACACTCGATGTCCTGTGGAGGTGGCATGGGCAGGTGTGGGTGTGAGCAGGGCACTGCTGGTGGCCAGCCCCTGGGGACCCCAGCTCACCATAAGATGTCCGCGCAGTACCAGCGGCACGATCTCTGTCTCTGGCGGTGTGTAACCATAGTCATCGCAGGGCAGTTCTCCGCGCCGCCGCCGGCCAGGCCCAGCCCCGGGCTGCCCGTAGTTGCGCGGGCAGAGTACCCGGTAGAGGCAGAGCAGCAGTAGCACGAGCACAATGCCTGCGGCCAGGCCAAGAGCTGCCACCCTGCGCAGGGTGAGGTGGGAGCGTGAAGTACACCGAGGCCCTGGCCCGCCCCCACCCCATCCCCGTGGGTCTTACTTGTACAGGGTGATGTCTCTGTGCGCCTGCGCCATGCCTGGACCCTTGGGGCCGGCCTCCCAGAGCCCACCAGGCTGGGGTCCCAGAGGGGGCCAGGCGCTGCGGCTGTCCTGAGGGTGCCGCCCCTCCAGGGCCTCCCGGGGGTTTAGGCGGAGTGTGACTGGGATGACAGGCAGGAGGCTGATATACCTGGAACCAGATGGGGAACTCTCAGAAGGACCCTCCCCGCTCCGGCCTCCACATCCCAACCTGCCTCCTACCATCTTCCCAGCATGGTGAGGTGAGGAGACAAGAGTCCACCCCCACACCCCAGCAGGAGCCCCCAGAAAAAGGATCCAGGGCCACTGCTGGCAGCTGCTTGGAGCCCTGGTGCCTGCCTCACAAGTGGGTTTTTAATGACATGGAAAGGCTGTAGAACTCAAAGCAGAGGGTCTCCCATCTGAGGGAAAGGATGCATGGGCCCAGAGCTGGCACACCAACGGAAGTGGAGGCAGCTGACACTGCTCAACTCACCTCTTGGCCAGTGTGATGTTGTAGTAGCTGAAGAGTGTTGGCCAATGGCGGAAGGACAATTTCCTCCAAAGTTCCTCATCCTCCAGCCCCCAGGTCACCTCTGGGACTGGGCTGTCGTGGACACCCTCTGGTGGCCCCCCAGGCTCTGGAAGCTCCCCTGCCAATGTCTGGTTCTCAGGTATCTTAGGGGCCTCAGGTGGGAAGATGGAGAAGGCAGGGGCCGGGGGGCCAGCAGGCAGCACACCACCAGGCACTGGAACGGGAGCCAGGGCGGCCTCCCCCAGCGGGCTCTGCTCCGTCACCTGGGCAGCGAGGTAAGTGCGCAGCCCTGCTGGGTCTGTGTAAACGAGGATGCCAATCCACACCACGGTGCCAGCCTGCAGGGGGCATCAGGAGCTCAGTGGGATCTAGGAACCCCTCACCCCAATAGCTGTGGACCTCAGGCCTGGGACTGGAAGAGGACACAGGCCCCAATCTGTTCTTCCTGTGCATCCTGAAGTCCTCCCCCTTCCATGCGGGCCAACTATCAATGAGGGACACAACTCCCTTCCCATGGTCAGGTTTGGGGGGTTTCTGGCCTGGATCAGGGCCACACCGCTGGACTGGCCAGAGCACTTCCTTGCCCTAGCCTTCATTTCAGATGGACTGGTGAGCACGGGTCAGAGGTCAGTGCCTAGTTGTTCCGGGAAGCCCCTATCCTAGTTCTGTGGGGGCCTCTGTGGTGGGTAACCAGTCCTGCTCCTGGCATTTTCTTACCTCCCCCACCACCCCCTGCCACACACACATACCGTGTGCCCCACCCCAACTCCAAGGCAAAGTGCAGAATTTACAGGGAAACCGAGCAAAATCCCACAGAGGGCTGGGGAGAAAAGTACCATGATGAGACGCTGGGCCAGACGAGTTCTGGCCAGGAAGTAGACAACACGCAGCCGCTTGGGGAGCCTCAGGTTTCGGAAGGAAGATGGTTGCAGTGTGATGGTGTGGGGCGTGGAAGGTCGCACAGCCAGTTGTCTCTCAAAGCGCGCCTGCCGCCCCACCGGCTTAGTCGGGGGCAGGCAGGCCTCAGGGGGCAACCGCTTGTTCAGGTCCGCCAGCTGTTGGGGGTGCAGTGGTCAGTGCCTTGGCCCGGAGGCTGCCCACACAGGGCTGTGGAGAAGGGGCAGCCCCCACCTACCTCCATGCGGCGGATGTCAATGGACAGGACTGTGGTGAAAAATAGCATCTGGAGGAAGAAGTCAGACACCAGCCCCACAACAGCAAAGAGACAGAACTCCTGGAATGAGAGCAAATGAGGCCACATGACCTTGCAGCCAACACCTGGGAGAGCTGCTCCCTGGCTGCAGGGCCCCACTGGGCATCTGCATTGGCATCTGCTTCTGACAGGAGGGCAGGGCAGGCAGGGGCGTGGTAATGGCTGTGCACGTGCTTGTGTCCATATCAATTTGCCTGTGGCTGTGGAGGCAGTGCTCCCCTTTCCCTCTCTCCCCACCAGGGGGCAGCAGAGAACCCCCCCACCTGGATGCCGAGGATGGATGGAGGACGTGCTCCCTCCCCAATCCGCTGACCTTCTGGAGAGGAGGCCCCTATCCCTGACCCTGATCCCTTCGGAGCTCTCAAAAAATCCTCTGATGAGTAACCACACAAGGCTGATGAAGGAGGAGGGAATTCTGCCCTTAAAAAGATAACGGGGTTTTCCTCTGCTCTCTAAGCTCTGGCTCAGATTTCCATGTTCCTCTCCTGATACGGACCAAGACCTCAGACACACCGTATGGAGCATGAGCAGCCCAGAGGTGGTCAGTTCTCATGTTCCCAGGGTGTGCCGAGGCCTCTGGGAGAAAATCCTGGGACCCGATTCCATTTGGCCCACAGCTCCCAGAATGGTCCACACACACTTGCAGCTGGTACAATGACGGCACTGCTGGGGAGCTCGGCAGCAGGCCCCAGATCTTACCTGGATGGCAGGCACCAGGGTGAAGTAACCAATGAGGATGATGCCCAGCTCTGTGGCCATGTTCTTCATGATGGACCAGCTCTCATTACTGAGACCTACAGAGAAGAATAGATCAATACCTGGCCTCTTCCAGCTGCAGGACCGCACATCCCTGTGGTCGTAGCTGGCTCTGGGGGAAGATACCGGCCTTCTGAGGCCACCTTCAGGACATGGCCAAAGCTCGGGCTCCACGAAGCTGCCCTGGTAGCCTGCAGGGTACTGGGCAGTCTTCGTGAGGGTTGAAATGAGCAAAGCCGAGAGCCAAGCACAACCCACCAGAGCAGTGAGCCTCTGCACACTGCACAGCTCCCTCAGAGCAGTACAATGGCTGAGGGACAAGAGCGACCGTGCTCTTTCTGACACCCTCCCCAGGGCACACTCCTGTAGGCTGTCACTTGGCTCAACATGGAGGGCCCTAACTGACTGGAGTGGAAGAGCCATTTTCCAGACATTTTTCCTTTTCCTCTGAACATCTAGGGTGAGGTTGTTCTAGAAGCGCACAGAGGCCTGCAATCAATGAGTGGCCCACCCCAGCGTCAATGTTCACAGGTAAGGCTTAGGATCTGGATGTGCAAGAGTGACTTTGAGGCCTAGGCTCGTTCCTTCACTTCACAGGATCCACAATTCCTGCAACTGAGGCCACAGGGGGGCTTTTCTGCCAGCTGAGGAGGACCCTCTCTTGAGTGGCTAGTCCTAGGGGGCTGGGCCTAGGGAATGGGGTGAGGTGGAAAGAGAAGACACCAGGTGCCAGCCTGGATAAGTCTCATCTGCTTTTTCCCTTTTTTTGCTTTTTAGGTCACACTTGGTGATGTTCAGGGGTTACTCCTGCACTCAGGAATTACTCCTGGGATGCTCAAGGGACCATATGGGATGCCGGGGATCGAACCCAGGTTGCAACATGCAAGGCAAAGGTCCTACCCATTGTACTACCGCTCTGATCCTCGTCTGATCTTTCTGACATACTAACCAGGACCAAGAACAGTCCTCAGAGCATACTCTCCTTTGTTTTAATGAATGAGCAAGCGTGCACACACAACACACTTACCTTGGGCGATGCGGAGTTTCACCTCAAGGTCCACTGGGGTCGAGACCACTGACTTGGTGAGCACCAACACGTTCTCTAACCCAATAACTACCACAAGGTAGGGGAAAATCTCGCTGAGGATAGAGAGGGAGAGGGTGAAGACAGTGCTGAAGAAGGTCCTCAACATATAGCTGGTTCTCAGAGCCTGGGCCCCTGATGAATGACCACCCCCCCCCCCCCCCCCCCGCCAATGCACAGGGCAGAAATCTGACCTTCTCGCCCAGCACTCAATAAGCCTCCTTCCACACAACTTTCAGCTGCTTCAAAGCCTTCCCAGGGCATAAGTCTGTCCTGTTTCAACCCACTAGCACACTCGGTGTGGGGAAGGTAGAATTAGGTGAGGCAAATCTCTAGCTGCCCAGGTACCAGGTTACAGCAGCTCCCCTGGCTTCCCAGGCCAGACTGTCATCCAGGCTGACAGGAGGGAGGGAGGCCCAGGAACAGCCTTTTCTAAGGAAACCCTCCTCCTCTCACGGTCTGCTGGCTTAAGCGAGGGCTTGGAGAGGGGGATGAGTCACAGAGGGTGCCAGGCTCCTATGTGGAGAAAGAAAGGGAGATTCCGAAGGGCAATGTGGGAAAGTGAACACCGCCTGGGGCAAGAAAGGAGCAGCTGCTGTTGAAGCAAGGAAAGGAAAAGGGCTGGGAGACAGTACAGCCGCTAGGTACATGTCCAGTGTATGCCTGGTCAGATCCCTGGCACCGTACAGACTCACAAGAACCCCTAGGAACATGACTGCTGGCATGGCCTGGGCAATCACTGCCACTGCTGGGTCCAAGCAGCACCACATCCTTGAGCCCCTGCATCGAACCAGGCTGGCTGAGAACCAGTGGGGGCCCTGGGCTGAGCACTGCCTGGGAAGTCCTGTATTTACCTCAAACCCCCACCGCCCCAAGAGAAATGTAACAGAAACCAGACACAGACATTTTAGTCCCTTCCATGAACCTTCCATGAATGACAGTGATTCTTAGACAGGTGGGCAGGGCTGAGTTGGAGTTGAGGAAAAACCAGGGAAGGAATGTTAGAGAGAAAGGGCCAGGGAAAACAAACTGTGGAAAGGTGAAAAGTCTTTTAAAAGACTTATTCTAAAAATGATCTGTTTTATGGGGTATTTAAATGTTTTAATAATAAAACAAAATTTTTTTCTACCTCATAATCATCTGTGGCTTAAGCCATACAAGAGCAGCATTCATGTATATAATACATACATCCACAATACACATATGCACACACATATGCATCACATATCAACATGTGCATGCAGTGCACCCCATATAAGCAAAACATGACCATAGGCACACAGATACGACTTCCCGTTAATCATCGATTTGCTCGAGTGGGCGCCAGTAATGTCTCCATTTGTCCCTGTCATGTGCTAGTGTAGCCCAATGTGTATTATTATATATAATATATATTACACATGATATATATTAATACAAAATAAACACTGTGTATTTTATATCCACGTGCATACCAGGTAATTTAGAAATGCTACCTCTGAAATATTGAAATAACTGTGAAGACACAATAACAGCAAGTATGAGGGTAGGTCAAATGCCAAAGTACAGGGCTCTGTGTCCTAACAGCTGAGCCCATGGCCCAATGAACCTGGGGGGTGTGTGTGTGCGTGTCTGTGTGTGTGTGCATGTACACAGGACAACAACACCTACCCGCCATTGAGGGTGGGAGTCAGGCCGAAGAGAGTGCAGAGCCCCACAGACATGAGCAGCGAGCTGAGCACCGTGACCACAGCGGCTAGAGCCAGCCCCCACTTGGACTTGACCATGTCGATCTTGCCTGGAGGGGAGAGAGGACACATCAGGACAGTAGCTCCTCCAAGAAGTCCCTGCCAAAAACAGGCCCCCTTAACAGAGGTCCTCTAGGAGCAAAGTGCACCCCAATAATGAAGGGGAGCCCCTGGTTTGACCAAAAGTGCAGTCCTGTACACTTCCCAGTGAGGACATGGCACAATTTTTGGGAACCCGAACCCAGGAAAAGCAAGAGGAGTCCTAGACTTGCTTAAGCCCAAGACTCAGCCAAGGACGGTGGCTCTTGTGCCCAGCGGGTGAATTCTCTTATCTGTGCCTGAAAAGGCCCCAGAGGCACGCGGCACAAGAGGGGCCCAGCCCCAGCATGGACCTACGAGTAGAGAAGTAGATGTAGGCAAACAGGATGATGTAGGTGGTCACGAGGGGGATGAGCTCGGCGATGCCAATCTCCTCCTTGAAGTGCACGTGGACTAGGCTCTCCGCCCGGAGGCTGCAGTTGGGGCTGGGGTGCAGGAGCATCAGGCGGGCCCGCAGGCTGTCCAGGAACCTGGTCAGGGGTGATGGGGGAAATGGACTGTCCCTCTCGGTCCAGAGACAGACTCTGGAAGGAGGATGCAGCAGGGCTTGGAGGAAGCTTCTCTGGTGTGTCTTGACAGACTCCCCCTGGGGCATCGGGACAGTGACAGAGCAGTCAGGCTAGCTCAGGAGCCTGACTGCACAGCTGGGTGGGGAGGCAAGGGTCTGTCTGCAGTGCCACTGAGAACTCTATTGCCTCTGGGTGAACCCTTACCCAGCTGTCAGGTCATCTCTGCTAAGACACGAGCAGCAGTGCTCTTGAGTCTGAGGGACATAATCTCTTCTTCTGAGTGTGTGTGTGTGTGTGTGTGTGTGTGTGTGTGTGTGTGAAGAGGGGTTGTGTGAACAGGTATGGAGAGGGTGTTTGGGTCACACCCAGAGGTGCTCTGGGCTTATTCCTGGTGCTGTGCTTAGGAACAATCTCTAGGGAGACTTGAGGGACCATGCCGGAGCTGGAGTGTGCAAGGCATGTGTCTTAACCCTGTACTCTCTGGCCCCAAGAATACTAATTTTTTATATCGCAAGTTCTGGGGTTGGGAGCATTGACAGTCTGGACAGTTTCTCTGGGGGAGGGTGCATGCACACCTGGTGGTGCTCAGGGGTTATTCCTGGCTCTGTGGTAAGGAATTACTCCTGGCAGTACTTGGGGGACCATATGGCGCCAGGGATTGAACCTGGGTCAGCCACGGGTAAGGCAAGTGCCCTACCTATTGGCTCTGGCCCCAATCTGGACACTCTCCCTAGAGCAGGGCCCACTCTGGGCCATTCAGAAGTGCAGAGCACGGCGGCCCTTACTTGGTGTGGTAGCGCTGGAAGACCAGAGTGATAGTGTAGGAGACCATCCTCTTCCGTGTGTACAGGTTCACCCCGCTGTACTTTCCGGGCACGCCAAACAGCAAGTCTGCAGGAGTAACACACACACACACACACACGGCCACTGTGAGGGCAGAGCAGCCACTGTCCCTGCTCCACCCGCTGCCTCCCACTCTGGAAACAAGGCTAAGCCCGCTCGAGGGCATCGTCCTGGAGGTTCCTGGGATACCTTTGAGCGTCGCCGAGGTCTGCAGGGTTTTGGGTTCATGCTGGTGGATGGTCCTGATGATGTCTGGATCAGCATGAAAGCGTTCCCGATCATTCTGCCAGAAGTTCCCAGGGGACAGCAGCAGGCAGCCATGCTCGGGGAGAAGATTCCGGAACTTCCTGAGGCCTGGCAGCAGGTCTGTCACCTGCAGGCACACCTCCTCCAGGCTCCTGCTCCCAGCACTGCACAGGACACAGGAGAAGTCCCCTGCTGCATGTACCAGCATGGGCCTTCCTGGACACTGCTGGGGCCTGGGCAGCAGGAAGATGGCCCCTGGGTCAAAAACCAACACCTCCCCTCACCCCCCACATGGCTGGCTGACCTCTAGAGAGCCTCAGGGAGAGGAGTTCTGCGAGCAGTCTATGCCACCCACTCACCCTTTGGTCAAGTCAGTGGGAAGAGGGGGTAGGGTGATAATTAATGGGGTTCATTTCTTTCACAGAAATGCTTGACAAAACCTTAGCTAAAATCTAGCAGTGAGACTACGTACAAAGCCAGTGTCCTCCTAGAGCCCCTGGGCTGGGCCTGAGGTCCCCTCACTGCCCTGTAGCCCCCTCATAGGGCTCAGGAGAGCAGGTGATTCACCCAGTGGACGTGAACATCGAGCCCTTAGTGAGCGCCTCCTCAGAGCCTGGGGTGGGCCGTAGCAGCCAAGTGTGCCCGCAGGCTGGCCCACCACACCTCCTCCTCTGATAGGCTCGATGAAGCCCCACAGGAGGTTGCTCCTGCCTCAGGTGAGAGTGAACGCGGAGGCTGGGTCCCCGAGCAGGGTACCTGTCTCGCAGCACGTGGTTGCGGATCTCCTCTACCAGCTGGAAAGCCCGGGACAGAGGTGAGCGGAACACATCAACTGCCAGCAAGTTCTTGTGCCAAGGAGACACTGACGACTTCACAAATATTTGCTGGATATAGGCCACAGGGGCACCCACGTACTGCCAAAGAAAGGAGCAGGAGAGAGAGGTCAGCCTGGCACAGGGAAACACAAGCCCGGACTCAGAAAAGGTAAAGTGAGCTTTGTCCACGCAGAGCAGGGACCAGTTGGCAGACAGGAGGGCAGGTGCAAGCTGCTGCTGGTCCTGAATGACCCCCTTCCTCTCCCCCACTCTGGCCCATTTCAGTCACTAACCCACAAGCACCAGCACACAGCTACTAAGGAGTGCGACCAGACCACTGATGCTCACACATACTGCAGGGCTCAACAGAGACCGTGTGATTCCTAAAACCTAAACCATTACTTAGCCTTTTATGAAAAATACCTGCCAACCCCATAAGAACCTGTCAGGTTGCCAAAAGATGGTGCCTGGCCCCTGAGTGGAAGCACTGGCCGGGCGGTGGTGCCTGAAGAGCAAAAGACCCAGATTTACTCTACTGATTCTTTTGCTCTGGGGCCACACCTGGAGAGCGGGACGCTGCAGCGCTGGGGGCTGGCCCAGGGCTCCCGGAGCCCTCTGAGCCCTCAGCCCTCTGAGCAACCCCCGACCCTTGGAAACCCACAGGCTTCTCTGAACTTCCTTTCCGTCTCGTGAAGGGGGGCAATCCCCCTGAGCACTCAACATGCACGCTCCACAGCAACACGAGCACTCGGCATACACAGGTGAAGATAGAGTGTGAGCAAGAGCGTGGCACCCACTTCATAGAGTGCCACAGTCCCGGGCAGCAAGGTGCTGCAGTTCCCGGTCCTGCAGGGCACAGCAAGGACTCAGGTCACCTGCGCAAACACCACACACTCTCCTGGCTGGAGCCTGCCATGTATCCTCAAGGATAGAGGAGTCAGTGCATGAGGGACCACGGTGCTTCACAGAGGACAGCTGAAGGGTCACTCTAGGCCCGGGTGGCACCGCGCACTCCCCCAAACTAGGGCTAGAATGGCTGTGGCGGGGCGAGAGCCAGGGCGGGGAGGCTAGGTGGGGGTCCTGCTGTGGCACTGAGAGCTGAGCAGGAGGCGGGGAGCGGCTCTGACAGCTGCGTGGGGCGTGACAGTAGACAGGACAGCCTAAGCGTCCCTGACACGGGACAGGCCACCCGAGCTGCAGAGGGAAAGCAGGCCATGGATCCCCGCGGGACACTGAGGCCCAGAGGCGGGAGCCAGGACGCTGAGCACGAAGTACCACCTGAAACAACCCTCTCCCTGGGAGGGCTCCGAGCACACGAGGCTGCCCCTCCTGCGTCTCCTGCTCTATAGCTCGCTGCCGGGGATACGGCCGCCCCACTCAGGCTGCCTGAGACCGCCACGCTGGCTGAGTCCTCCAGCCCCAAACAGTCCAAGGACAGCAGGGGAGCGAGGAGCCCCTCCCAGCACACCTGCGACTTTCAGACTTTCACCCCCCCTCCACCCTTGACCCTCCTGACCCCCAACTCCCTCCTTGGGCTCCCAGAGCCCGTGCAGTAGAACCTTGGGCCTGCAGTGGAACCAGTCCTGGAGGTGACAGCGTCTGGGGCCTCTAGTCTACCCCCAGGGCTATTTGGACCATTTCAAAACGGAAACAACATACTTCAGAACCAAACAGCTTACTCTTTTGTTTGCTTGCTTTGTGTGGTTTGGCTGCTGGTGCTCAGGGGACCTAGCAGTGCCAGAGCATGCCTGAGAGCTCTCTCTCCGACCCCACTGCACTTATTCCACTCTGTTTTGGGGCCGCACTCAGCTGTGGGGAAACACCTGTGGACTGCAACACTAACCTGGGTTGGCGACCTGCAAGGCAAGCCCCCACCCTGCTGTACTATGCCTCTGGTCCCACTAGAGTTATTTTACATTTAAAATAATTTTTTAAATTCTGGGACCACACTCAGCTGTATTCAAGACAAAGTCTTGACTCTACACTCAGGGATGACTCCTGGTGGCACTTGAGGGACCATATGGGGTGACTGAACCCAGGCTGGGTACATGCAAGATGAACATCCTACATGCCTGCACTATCGCTCCAGAGCCGCTGTACTTTTAAACTAACCTTTCTGTCTTCTCCTTGTGGTCAGACTTGGTGGTATAGCTTCGTCTGTCCTCCAGGTCACTGCTTCTCAACCTGTGTCTGACTGTGACCCCCTTCCAACTTCATTTTCTTCCTGTCACTCCCCTGTCCTACTGGTTGGCTCCCTAATATTGTTTTTTTGTTTGTTTGTTTGTTTTGCTTTTTGGGTCACACCTGGCGATGCACAGGGATTACTCCTGGCTCTGCACTCAGGAGTTACTCCTGGCGGTGCTCAGGGGACCATATCGGATGCTGGGAATCAAACCCAGGTCGGCTGCGTACAAGGCAAACACCTACCCGCTGTGCTATCTCTCCAGCCCCTTGGCTCCCTAATATTGTGCCATGGTTCCCTATTTATGTGATGCTCACCTGTGGCCCCTTAGAAAATTCTAGGGGTCCCACAGGGACCATATGGCTTAGCTAAGGAAAGCTGCTAAGTCATCCTGCATCTGTGTACATGCGGGGGGTGGGGGGGGGAGAGAGAGAGAGAGAGAGAGAGAGCACTTTGTGCTGTGCTCTCAATGCCTGAGCCTCCTACTTTTCCATCGTTTTTCACTCTCAGAGTAGCAGTGAAGCCATGCAGAAAGCACCCATAGGACTGGGATGAATACAGGTAGGTATTTCTGCTCACTCTCATCTCTTTCTCCCTCTCTCCATCTTCCTCTCCCTCCCCCCCTCTCCCCCACCCCCCGCATGTACACAGATGCAGGCTGAATGAAGCAAGAACACAGAGCTGGTAAAATGGTGGCAAGAGCTTGAGTTCACATACTACAGGGTTCAATCCCTGGCACAGTATGATCCTTCGCTGAGCACCGCCAAGAGTGACCCAAACACCAAAACCAAATCAAAATAATATAACTAATAATTATTAGCAAGATGGCTATTGTTAATACAGCCACTATCAGGAAATCAAAAGGGAAACTGAGAGCTGAGAATGAGACTTGAGTGGCAAAGCAATGCCCTGTCTATGTGAGATCCCGGGTTCAACTGCCGGTCCGCGTGAATCCCCAAGCACTGCCAGGTGTGGATGTGACCCCCAGACACTGCATGCTCCACGTAACTGAGCATTCTTTCCTTTGCCTCTGCGGTGATCATAGTCCGTGAATGGTAGTGAGACAGGTAACCCACTGTGCTGCACAATACCAGGTGACCACAGCAAAGCCTCTTTTTCCTGTCTATCCTACAGGGAATGGGGATCCCACCAGAAAGGAAGAAAATGGGAAAATCCCTAGCCCTCAATTATTTTGTGCACCTACTGACTACCATCACCCCAGCAAACTGAGGTTGTAGAGAAGCTTAAGAGAACTCAGCAACAAATAAGACAACAGTCAGGACTACACATCAGGTTCTCTGAATTCCAAATGGCACGAAACATCTACCAATGGGCTTCCTTAATGGAATTGGGAACATTAGTTCCATTAAGCAGTACAACCACATGGAGAAGTCTGTGAAGGTAAAAAGTCTGAGCCAAGAAGGTCCCAGAGGGAGCTAATGCTCAAGTTGGGACAAGAACGTACTGAACTTTCTGCCAGCACCAGGCCATGTTACCCGACTTCCTGGACAGAACCCTCTGAAGTCTGGGTGTACTTCCCACTGATTTCACGTACAGCTGTGTCATACCAGATGGAAATCTAGATCAGCAACTGCACAGCCAAGTTTACCTACTGTCTACAATGCCCAACAAGGAAAATGGAAGCAGTGTGAATGACTGTCAGAGACGCACTGTTCCCACCCTTGGCTTCCTCTCCTTCAGTAAGAGACTTAGCAAGTGCAGCAGCAAAGCATCACATGGGAAGGGAATCTCTGCCATCCACCAGCAGGCAGGCTGAAGGCTCGGAGACAGGTTAGCCATGCTGTGAGACTCCAACCGGGCTCTAGTTACAGCGAGTGAGTGAGAGCCTACTCCTGAGTCCTGCAACTGGAGACAGTTTCTTCCTCATTTACACCTGTGCTGTGAGACAGCTGGCGAGAACAGTGTTTCTCAACCGGGAAATTCAGATGATCCCCTGTGCATGCCCAGGATACCCCAAAGAAGTCAAAGTGAAAAATCACATTACATGTGGTGGGGAGGGCATGGCATCAAACTGAGGGGCATGGGGCTGGAGCAATAGTACAGTGGGTAAGGCACTTGCCTTGCGTGCACCTGACTGGGATTCGACCCCCAGTATCCCATGTGGTCTCCCTGAGCACTGCCAGGAGTGGTTCCTGAGTCAGAGCCAGGACTGACCCCTAAGCATTGCCAGGTGTGGCCCAAAAACTAAAATACAAAACAAACAAACAAACAAACAAAACCAACAACAACACAAAACCATCTAAAGGGCAATTGATGGGCTGTGGGGAGATTGAGGTGGGGGCAACAGGGCAGATGAAGGCCATGGTTGAAAAAAGGTTGAGAAGTACTGGTCAGAGGAAGCAGGTTAGGAGACCTGAAGTTTTAAGTAACTGAGTAACCTCGTAATCTTGGGCACCAGCTTCCTTAACTGTGTAAGTAATTAAAACAAAACTAAACAAAACAGGGGTTGGAGCACATGCTTTGCATACTGGAGCCCCAGATTCTATCCCTGGCATAGCACCAACTTGGAATAGCCCCTAAGCATTTCTGAGTGTGACACTCAACTCCCACTCTCCCAAAACAAAACCAAACCAGAACTATTCTATTTAGGTGCCTGCACTATAAGGGTAAAATCACAGTCACAGTCACAGTCCTCCCGTTATTCATCGATTTGCTCGAGCGGGCCCAGTAACATCTCCATCGTGAGACTTGTTACTGTATTTGGCATATCGGATACGCCACAGGTAGTTTGCCAGGCTCTGCCGTGCGGGCGAGATACTCTCGGTAGCTTGCCGGGCTCTCCAAGAGGGGCGGAGGAATTGAACTCAGGTCGGCCATGCTGGCTGCGTGCAAGGCGAATGCCCTACCCGCTGTGCTATCGCTCCAGCCCAAGGACAAAACAGGACTTAAGAAATATGAGAAACTTAGTTGCCCCTACAAATATCAAATGGTGCAGCGACTGTGATGACAGAACTTTCACTAGGGATGCTCAGAGGTTGTCCTGGCCACCCAGGGCAGAGGGAGATGGTCAGTTAGGACACTGCCTGGCATTTGTGCATGGTGTGCGAAAAGCCCATGGTCTGAAGCCAGACCAGCTGGTCACAGCTCTGGGGACCACATCCTTCAGTGATGCTTTTCCAAAACCGTTCCTCAACGTGTAACTATTCTAGAATCACCACTCTGTCTCACAGTCCTTGCTGCACCGGGCTCTGTGCAGTGACTGCTCACTCACCCACTCAGGCTGCTCTTTAGGCTCTCCTGGCCTGTGGTCAGGGGCCGCTGGCGGGGGCGAGTAATCCTTCACAGGGGTGGTGAATTCCACAGGGCCTGTTCCGGGCAAGGGGAGTTTCAGCAGGGGGTAACTGGAATAAATAAAAAAGAGGGAAGAGTTAGACTCTGCGGGGGAAAGTCTGTGCTGAGGTAACAGTGGCTCCAGAACCACGGTGACCCCACTCACTTCATGTTGCTTGGAGGATGCAGAAGTGGACAAATGACTCAAAACATAAACCAGAAGGACACGCAGAGGCCATCTAGGTCAGAATTTCAAACTTATTATTGGTCATGAAGTTTACAAGTCTTCAATTTGCAATTCAGCAAGCTAAATTAGAAATGTAATGTTCTAGAAATGTAATAGGCAAGATCCAAAAACAAAAACAAAGACCCCATGAAAAAAGCAAATGTCTCAAATTAACTGTAAGATGGTAATATGGCACAGCAGCAAAGCTCATGCCTTGTATCTGGAGTCCCAGGTTTGATCTCTGGCACCAACAAAAACAATAAATAAGCACAAAAATCCAGAAGGATCTCAATTCAGTTTGTTCTAAATTATTCCTACTTATTCCTTCTCTGATTGGTTACATAAACTAATCTACTATAGGTTAGCAATGTTTCAAACAGTGCAGATTCTACTGGTCTTTTATTTTCATGCAGAAAATGCAGGGTCCATTATACCAGTTTCTCACAGCTCATCATGCTAGCTTGCTTTCATTTGTTTTCTGTTTGATTCTATAGTAGCAAGAAATGAACTCAGGGCGTCCCACCTGCAAGTCAAGAGCTCTACCACTGAGCCACGGTACTGGTCTCACTGTAATGGTTTTGCCACAGAGGGTAACTGTTCCAATTTAAAGGGGCATCATGAAAACTGCGTACAACACACTGAGAACATGGTTCATACCCCAGCTTCTTAAACTGTGAGCTGTGGTGTCATGGGGTCACATAACTGAATGTGGGAACTTCAAGAAATCTGGCAAGAGTGAAATGTTTCTGAGTACACAATGATCAAAACTAATTCAGGAGCTAGAGAGATAGTATAGGGATTAAGGAGCTTGCCTTCAACATGGCCAAACTCAGTTCAACCCCTGGCACCACATATGGTTCCCCTGAGCAGAGCCAGGAGTCCATGAGCAGAAAGCTAGGAGTAATCCCTGAGCACCACCAGATGTGGCACAAACTACAATTTTTTTTTCCCTTTGAAACTCAAACATAAGGAGCTAGAGAAATAGTACAGCAGCTAAGGCACTTGCCTTGCATGCAGCCGACCCAGGTTAGATCCCCAGCATTCCATATTATAGTCCCCTGAGCACCACCACGAGTAATTCCTGAATGCTGAGCCAGGAGTTACCCCTAAGCATGCTGGGCATGCCCAAAAAACAAAAACAAAAACAAAATTCAAACATGCCATGCACCCCAGCTGTTTCTGGCAGTGCTCACCAGCGTAGCACTTCTTAAGTGAAAGGGGTTGCAAGTGGAAAAGTTTAAGAAGCCCTGATTTCCATTACAATGCTCAACCACGGTCAATGGACACTCCATCTGCTAAGGAAAACCTTGGCCTTATAAAAACATGCATTTTGTTTCACAGAAAGCTGCTTTTAGAACCTTAAAAATTGAGAACTAACTTTTAGGGCTAAGGAACTATGAGTCAATGAGCTGAGCACATGCTTTGCAGGCAGAAGACCTGGGTTTGATCCCCAACACTGCATGGTTTCCCCAGCACCAGAGCACTGCCAGGAGTGACCCCCCTCACCCGAGCACTGAGCCAGGAACAATCTCTGAAAACTATTAATTACTGTCCACAAATACAGAACAAATAAAATAATTAACTTTTATGTAGAACAAGACACATACAGAGCAAAGAATCTTTAAATAGGATAAACCTGTGAAAGCACTATTTCAAGCTAGAAAACACAGCTAAGACCTCAGACAGTGATCTTGCTTCCCCTCCTGCCTCCAACTGAACACGCGATTAGAATGTCTATCCCTGTGATTAATTTTGCCAAGTTTCTGAGTGGCATATAAAAGAGATCAGCCAATTCCACTGATATACCAGTCCTTCTGACTGGCTGTTTCTCACAAATTATCTTGGCTAGATTAATCTGCACCAGAGCATGCAGTCACAAGTCATTCTTCTCCATCCACTGACGCACGAAGAGGTCACACTTATCTATCCCAATGCTGAAGAACACTGGCTGTTTCCAGCTTGAAGTAATAAAAACAGATGATGATCATTCTTAGATTTGGCTTCTGGTGGCCACTGTAGAAGCATTTCTATAGGGTATACTGTGAGAAGGAGTTAGAATGATCTAACTCCCAAGGTAGTTAGAATTTATATTCCTACCAGCAATTTCACATGCTCCAAATTCCCTCTCTAGAAAACCAACCAATTCAAAACATTTGGAAGACTGTTTTATTTTTGTTTTGTTTTGTTTTTTATAAAGTGAACTCCTTATGGATTTACAGTGGAGTGATAGCACAGCGGTTGGGTGTTTGCCTTGCATGCGGCCTGCCAGGCCTGCCAGAGTTCGATTCATCCACCCCTCTCGGAGAGCCCGGCAAGCTACCAAGAGTATCTCACGCACACGGCAAAGCCTGGCAAGCTCCCCGTGACATATTCAATATACCAAACACAGTAACAACAAATCTCACAATGGAGACGTTACTGGGACCGCTTGAGCAAACAACAGGAGGACAGGAACAGTGCTACAGGTGATAACCAAGTACTTTTTTACAGCTACAAATTTCCCCTTAGTACTATTTTTACCGCATGACATCAGCTTTGGTATACTCTGTTCTAGTGTTCAACATCTCAAGTTTTCTATTTTCTTTTTTGACACACTGACATTTTTTAACAATTTTTAATTTACACATATTCATGAATTTCCGAGTTTTCTTCACACAGTAAACATTACTGATCTTTAGATTCATTCTAGTTCGATTTTTAAAATTTTTCATATTATTTTAATCTTTAAAAATAAATTCAAGGGGCTGGAGCAATAGCACAGCGGGTAGGGCGTTTGCCTTGCACGCGGCCAACCTGGGTTCGATTCCCAGCATCCCATATAGTCCCCTGAGCACCGCCAGGGGTAATTCCTGAGCGCAGAGCCAGGAGTAACCTCTGTGCATTGCCGGGTGTGACCCAAAAAGCAAAAATTAAATAAATAAATAGATTCAAGACATGGACTAGAGACAGAGCACAAATGTTAAAGCACTTGCCTTGCACACAGTTAACCCCAGTTTGATCCCCAGCACATGGTCCCCCAAGTACTGCCAAGAGTGATCCCATCTTACCCCCAAAGTTATAGACTTGTCTGTGACCTAACACAGTGTCCATCCTGGAGTGTCCTGTGCTAATCTGAGAAGGAAGTGTACCATGTTCTTGGTTACAGTGTTCTGAAGATACTGTAACTGGCAAAGAACGTTGCCCAAGTTCCATTATTTCCTTACTGATCTGGTTTGGTTCTTCTACCCATTACTGACAGTGGGAGACTGAAGTCTAGCTATTACTGCACACTGTTTCTTACTTCAACCCTACCCAATTTTTGCTTCAGATTGTCTGGGGCTTCTTGTGTGTACAAGTTTATAGTTGTTATCTCTTCTTTTTTTTACATTTAATTTTTATACAGTTATTTCACAATATTTGATTACATTTAATATTCAAACACCAATCCCACCACCATTACACCTTTCCACCACCATATTTTGGATGTTTCCATCCTGAGCCTCAACCCCTGCTCCAAAGCAGAACCGAAATAATTTAGTTTGTATTGTTTGTTATGAATAAACCGTTGAAAATGCTCCAAAAACTTTTTTTTAGGGGAGAGTGTGTGAAGACTGTTGTATTTCACCGAGGGGCCATTAAGCCCTTCTATAAGAGATTACCATTATGTTGTTAAAGGTTGAGCCTTATGTGCTTGTGCTTGTGTGTGTGTGTGTGTATAGATCCACTATCCACTGTCTATCCACTGTCCTCCCGTTGCTCATTGATTTGCTCGAGCGGGCCCAGTAACGTCTCCATTGTGAGACTTGTTACTGTGTTTGGCATATCGAATACATCACAGGTAGCTTGCCAGGCTTTGCTGTGGAGGTGAGATACTCTTGGTAGCTTGCTGGGCTCTCCAAGAGGGACAGAGGAATCGAGCCCTGGTCAGCCGGGCCGGCCGCTGCAAGGCAAATGCCATACCTGCTGTGCTATCGCTCCAGCCTGTGTGTGTGTGTGTGTGTGTGTGTGTGTGTGTGTGTGTGTAAATATACTCTCCTCTAAGATAGGTTACCGTCTTCCTTAAAACCCCATCTAATGTGGTGCACTACTCCTAGAATATGAGTGGTGCGAGCTATGAGTTGTCCAGGAATAGGTTTACTTGTGGGTGAGGCTTGGCCGGAGCGTGTGGAGAGTGGCCGTGAGCATGGCGGTGGTTGAGTTCTGGAGGATTTCAGCTGCAGTGTTTGGGTCCCTTGGGGCGGGAAGGGACCTTATTCACCCCTCTCTGGGGTGCCCAGAAAGAAAGAGTCTGGCACAGAGTCCAGCAGCATGGCTATGGCATGTCATTTTATGCTCTCTTCTGAGAGAGGACAATGAGTCTCTGGATCATGGCCATTGATGAGATTATCTGGCCTTGTTATCGCTTCTTGCTATAATGATGCACTATCAATTAATGTTCTTTGTGGCTTCTGGTGGCCATGACTTTCTTAAAGTTATCTGCTGTGCTGGGAGGGATAGTACAGCAGATAGTGCATTTGCCTTGAAGGCAACTGACCCAGGTTCAATCTCCGGCATCGCATATGGTCCCTCAAGCACCACCAGGAGTAACCCCTGAGCATTGCTGAGTGTGACCCAAAAAGGAAAAATAAATTAATTAATTATAAATACCCGGCAAGCTACTAAAAAATATCACGCCCGCACGGCAAAGCCTAGCAAGCTAACCGTGATGTATTCGATATGCCAAAAACAGTAACAAGTGTCACAATGGAGACATTACTGGTGCCCGCTCAAGCAAATCAATGAACAACAGGAGGACAGTGCTATACAGTGCTATATAAATACCCCAGCACTCTTTTATTTGCTGTTCAGCATATAGCATTCTTTTCC